AAGATTATTAGGCACACAGTTTTTAATAAACTAAAAAGTACCTTAAAAAATTAAACCATCTTATATTGTGAAACAAAAAAAATTCTAAAATATCATATATTATGAAACGGAGAAAATATAAAATATTTTTGTGGTAAAGCAGAAATAACATTCTCGCGAAAAAAAGTAGAAATAAGTCAATAACACAGTAAGATTTTGAAAAAACAATACTTTTCAATCCATTTTTATTATTGTTAACCCTTATCATAATTTAAAACACCAAAAACAAGATTGAAGAAAATGGTGTTTATTGATTTAGTATTTTACTCTGGTAACCGTAAGGGTTTGCTGAAAATGACATACCACATGAGGTAACTTTTTTGTCTTTTTATTGTTTCATATATCTAGTTTTAAAAGGAAAAATTAAGAAAATAACCCAAAAATAAATTAAATTTAAGAAAATAGACCACAACTTTTATAATTAGAGAAATAGGCTAAAGTTTGTTACTCTTATTTAGATAATCATTTAAATAAAACGTGTATAATAATCCAAAAAAATTAATAATTCAGTATCTAATGATTCTAATCCATATTCCTAAAACGAAAAAGAAAAAGCTTAATAATCCATATATTAACATGTATCTAATAGATCACTATTATATATTTACAACTTAACTTATGTATATCACCTAATAGTAAAACAAATAAATATCAGTATAGTTACCTCATTCATATTATCATATACAGTTAAACTATAATGTTGTGAACATAATCCATTTCTAATTTTTTACGACCTTAAATGATTTTATTTCAAAATAGAAGAAGAAAAGTGGATTTACCAAATATAATTTTCAAAATTTAACACAAAATATGGCTACAATTTTGAAAATGTCTTAATCGTCATTTCAACCATACAAAGACTATTCTTTTAATTTTAGAAGATTTAGCCTAGTATTTTAATTTTCCTTTAGATTTGGCCTATTTTTTTAATTCTCCCTTTTTAAAATGAGAAATTTCAAAAAATGCCACTTTTCAAGTGCCACTTTACAAAAATGCCACACTTTTGAAATCTTTACAAAAATGCCATTTTTTCAGAATTAGTTTTCTTTATATTATTTATGTTTGAGTTAATTATGTTCTATTAGGGTTTAGTTTTGAAGGTTTAAAGTGTTTTAGGTGTCAAAACATTTTTTAGGGTTTAGAATTTTAAGATATAGGTTTTATAAATTTATAGTTAGTGGCATTTTAGTAAATAGAGACCCCTAAATGGCATTCTTGCAAATATGCACACAAAAAGTATCATTTTTGTAATTGTCCATTTTAAAATTGTTTTTTTAATTATTTTAAAATAAATTATCCATATATTATTATTATGATTTCCTTTTAGTAATTGTACTTTGCTTTTCAAACACTGAAAGGTCTGTCTCTCTACTTTCCTTAGCCTAGACTTCTCGCAGTTTCTTAGTGGTCTGCCCCTTTACCTAATACACTCACTATAC